GGCAGTTAGGAGGACAGACTAAATATATTTCAAATGGGCAAAAAAACACACACACAAACAGTAGTACTTAAAAAATCTAGTTGCTCAAGTCACAAAAAGCTCAACTTTTCTCAGTGCAACATAGTAATATTCAAGTAAAGTAAAAAAAGAAGCTTAACTTTACAAAAGATAAATTTCAAGATTATCCACCATTTTAACAAGAGCTGTCTGTAGGACAGCACGCTCGACTATTCTAAGTGCTTGATAGTAAAAGAGCCTTTATATTGTTTAATTTTTTAAGTTCACAAAAGGGCTAATTTTTTTTTATAAATTCATGTTATAGGCCTAAGAGAGAGTCTAATTATACAGTATTGGCTTGACTATTTGGAAGGAAATGTCACAAGGGTGTTTTATTGAGTATAACAAGATATGTTTGTAAAACATGTATGCCCCCTATCAGCAGCCAATTAGTCATGTGATAAGGTTATTTAGCATGACTTCTGACCCAGTGATCAAACAATTAATAAGGGTTATAAAGTATCTACTGGTCATGACCTTGACCTTTGACCCCTTGACCCAAAACTCAATAGGGGTCATCTGCTGGTCACGACCAATCATCAAACAAAGTTTGAAGTTCCTAGGCCTAGGCGTTTTTAGTAAATTGATCAGAAACCGTTTTTACCTACAAGGTCAATGTGACCTTGACCTTTGACCCCTTGACCCCAAAATCAATAGGGGTCATCTGCTGGTCATGACCAATAACCATGCCAAGTTTGAAGTTCTTAGGCCTAAGAGTTCTCTTATTATTGATCGGAAACCGTTTTAACATACAAGGTCAATGTGACCTTGACCTTTGACCCCAAAATCAATAGGGGTCATCTGCTGGTTATGACCAATCACCATGCCAAGTTTGAAGTTTCTAGGCCGAAGCGTTCTTTAGTTATTGATCAGAAACCGTTTTTACTTACAAGGTCATTGTGACCTTGACCTTTGACCCCTTGATCCCAAAATCAATAGGAGTAATCTGCTGGTCATGACAAATCACCATACCAAGTTTGCAGTTCCTAGGCCTAAGCGTTCTTGAATTATTGATCAGAAACCGTTTTTACTTAAAAGGTCAATGTGACCTTGACCTTTGACCCCTTCACCTAAAACTCAATAGGGGTCATCTGCTGGTCATGACCAATCATCACACAAAGGTTGAAGTTCCTAGGCCTAAGCGTTTTTAGTTAATTGATCGGAAACCGTTTTTACCTACAAGGTCAATGTGACCTTGACCTTTGACCCCTTGACCCCAAAATCAATAGGTCATCTGCTGGTCATGACCAATCACCATACCAAGTTTGAAGTTCCTAGGCATAAGGGTTCTTAAGTTATTGATCGGAAAGCATTTTTACGTACAAGGTCAATGTGACCTTGCCCTTTAACCCCTTAACCCCAAAATCAATAGGGGTCATCTGCTGGTCATGACCAATCACCATACCAAGTTTGAAGTTCCTAGGCCTAAGGGTTCTTTAGTTATTGATCGGAAACCGTTTTTACCTAAGAGGTCAATGTGACCTTGACCTTTGACCCCTAGACCCCAAAATCAATAGGGGTCATCTACTGATCATGACCAATCACCATCTCAAGTTTGAAGTCCCTAGGCCTAAGGGTTCTTTCATTATTGATCGGAAACCGTTTTTACCTACAAGGTCAATGTGACCTTGACCTTTGACCCCTTAACGCCAAAATCAATAGGGGTCATCTGATTGGTCATAACCAATCACCATACCAAGTTTGAAGTTCCTAGGCCTAAGGGTTCTTTTGTTATTGATCAGAAACCGTTTTTAATTAAAAGGTCAATGTGACCTTGACCTTTGACCCCTTGACTCCAAAATCAATAGGGGTCATCTACTGATCATGACCAATCACCATACCAAGTTTGAAGTTCCTAGGCCTTAAGGTTCTTTAGTTATTGATCAGAAACCGTTTTTGCTTACAAGGTCAATGTGACCTTGACCTTTGACCCTTGACCCCAAAATCAATAGGGGTCATCTACTGATCATGACCAATCACCATACCAAGTTTGAAGTTCCTAGGCCTTAAGGTTCTTTAGTTATTGATCGGAAACCGTTTTTGCTTTTAAGGTCAATGTGACCTTGACCTTTGACCCCAAAATCAATAGGGGTCATCAACTGGTCATGACTAATCACCATACCAAGTTTGAAGTTCCTAGGCCTTAAGGTTCTTTAGTTATTGATCAGAAACTGTTTTTGCTTTCAAGGTCAATGTGACCTTGACCTTTGACCCCTTGACTCCAAAATCAATAGGGGTCATCTACTGGTCATGACCAATCACCATACCAAGTTTGAAGTTCCTAGGCCTTAAGGTTCTTTAGTTATTGATCGGAAACAGTTTTTGCTTTCAAGGTCAATGTGACCTTGACCTTTGACCCCTTGACCCCAAAATCAATAGGGGTCATCTACTGGTCATGACCAATCACCATATCAAGTTTGAAGTTCCTAGGCCTTAAGGTTCTTTAGTTATTGATCGGAAACCGTTTTTGCTTTCAAGGTCAATGTGACCTTGACCTTTGACCCCTTGACCCCAAAATCAATAGGGGTCATCTTCTGGTCATGACCAATCACCATACCAAGTTTGAAGTTCCTAGGCCTAAGGGTTCTTTAGTTATCACTCGGAAAGCATTTGGTCTACGGACCGACGGACCGACGGACCGACAAGTGCAAAGCAATATACCCCCTTTTTTTCAAAATGGGGGCATAATAATACTAATTACCTATGAATAAATAAATTTGACAGAAAAGGTACAAAGGCTTGTTATTAAGATGTTTTATCAAGTAAATCACTGCTTTATTATTATGAATGCATAAAATTGTCCCGAAAAAGGCACAAACCCTTCAGTAGTTATTGAGATAACAACTTACAAGAAAAACTTAACCATGAATTTCTAAGTTGAAGAAGGGGAGAAAAATCAGCCTAAATGCAAGATAGAATAATGGATCTTTGTCAGTGACCTACAATTATGACCCTAAATGCATATGTGAAGTTTTTAATGAATATCTTTAATAGTTATTGAGATATGTAAAACTTGCATGTTAACATTAACCAAGAGACTAAGTAGAAAAGGGGATATGAATCAGCCTTAATGCAAGATAGAGTTATGGAACTTGGTCAGTGACATACAATTATGACCCTCCAATTATGACCCTAAGTGCATGTGTAAAGTTTCAAGTAAATATCTTTGAAGACCTTTAATCTTTAACCAAAATTTCTAAGTTTCAAAGGGGCGAATAATTCTGCAAATATTGCAGGCAGAGTTATGCAATTTTGCAAACTGATGTACATTGTTACTATAAAAAAGTATTTTAAATTTCAATTGAATATCTCAAGCAATAATTGAGATATTTGACTTTACAAAAAAACTTTAACCAAAATTTCTAAGTTCCAAAGGGGCATACTTCTGTTAATATTGTAGGCAGAGTTATCCAACTTGTCAATGTGATGCACCTTGTTACTATAAATAAGTATTGTAAGTTTCAATTGAATATCTGGAGCAATAATTGAGATATTTGACTTTACAAAAAACTTTAACCAAAATTTCTAAGTTAAAAAGGGGCATAATTCTGTCAATATTGTAGGCAGAGTTATCCAACTTGTCAATCTGATGTACCTTGTTACTATAAATAAGTATTGTAAGTTTCAATTGAATATCTCAAGCACTGATTGAGATATTTGACTTTACAAAAAACTTTAACCAAAATTTCTAAGTTAAAAAGGGGCATAATTCTGTCAATATTGTAGGCAGAGTTATCCAACTTGTCAATCTGATGGGCCTTGTTACTATAAATAAGTATTGTAAGTTTCAATTGAATATCTCAAGTAATAATTGAGATATTTGACTTTACAAAAAACTTTAACCAACGCAAACGCCGACGCGGACGCTGACGCCGACGCGGACGCCGGGGCGACTACAATAGCTCTCATATTCTTCGAATAGTCGAGCTAAAAATGGCATCACATTTTGAGAGCAAACATGTAAACAAAGTTACAAGTAAAAATGTGTAAGGTTAACCAACAAGCGCCTAGGCAAGTGATTTATGACAATAGCTAAAAATAGCCTAAGAGCTAAATATAGCTTCAGAGCTAAAAATAGCTTAAGAGCTATAAAAAAAAGCTTAAGAGCTAAAAATAGCTTGAGCTAAAAATAAAAGTATGTTAAAAACCACTTTACCTCCTTGACAATATCATCAGCTATACTCCCATGATAGAAAATATTGGAGCCTTCAGAAGCTATTTTATCTAACGTAGCAGCCAGATCAGGTCTTTTTATTATATCCCCTTCCTGTTTCAATGAACCGTCCGTCTGTATGTAATACTTGGCTAATTTTGAATCGATGAATGCACTACGTCTAAACTTTGGACTCTTAAACACCATCTCTAGTTAAAGCGGAAAACAAATAATTTTCTAAGTCAATATTGGTCAATGTGGATTTCAGAGGACTGCTAAAATAGTACCTTATTATACTAAAAAACCATTAAGTTCAGTCATGAAATAATAAAGGTATATAAATGATCAATAAACAATTTGCTTTATCAATGAGCTTCTGTTATGCCTGGTTGTGCAACAATTTTTGTTCTCGTTCTAGTAAACACTGCCAAATCTACTTCCTGGGAAAATGAATACTTGTGGGATTTTTTTTTTATGGACCCATGCTCATGACTATGGAAGAACGTAACTTCCAATGCCTGTGTTGAAAAGAAAGAAACTTTCACCACTACAACTAACAGGAGTTCATGAATTCAATACCAGACTTTACCTGCTTTCATGCAAACTTCTGTAATGACTGATAAATATGCAGCTAGCCACAACTCATTGCATTTTGCTTTTTTTTCCACAGTCACTAGCAAAGGTTTGCAAGTGACATTCTAATGAACTCGCAAAATGAGAAATTAACTTGCAAAGCTGAATTAACAGGGTTTAAATTTCAGTTTGCAACATCCATGAAACATGCAAAAATCATGCACAAAAGTCAATGACATCCACTGTGAGTTTGTTTTATCAAAATATTTTACAAAAATTTCTAATTTTGTCGGCCGTCTGCCATGCGGTTTTCCTCGATCACCATGTAAACAGGTCTTCTTTTAAAACAGACACTATTTATATGTTTATTCCCAAGTGTGTGATTTTTCCTGCCATTTCCAATGTGGTTTTCATAGCCACCATGTAAGCAAGACTTCTTTTAAAAATAGACACTATTTAAATGTTTATTCCCTAGTGTGTAACATATATAAAGTGTTTTATAATACCTGTATGTCCGGTCATTTTGAAGCCATTTCGTGCAATATCAGCAGCTGGAGCGACTACAGTTTTCCAAGCTAACCTGTATACAACAAATGAGCCGTGTCATGACAAAACCAACATAATGAGTTTGCGACCAGCATGGATCCTGACCAGCCTGCGCATCCGCACAGTCTGATCAGGATCCATGCTGTTCGCTTTTAAACCTTTTAACAAGTAGAGAAACTGATAGCAAACAGCATGGATCCTGATCAGACTGCGCGGATGCGCAGGCTGGTCTGGATCCATGCTGGTGGCAAACGCACTATGTTGGTTTTGTTGTGACGCGGTGATTAAAATTATATGCTCTATACAGTTTTATTCATTTATTGCATTTGTTTTAAAGACCTATTATCACATTCCATTTTGCATTCTTCAGGTGATAAGTGTCTTAATATGTTCTAAAGCCATTAGGTAAAACATAATAAAACTCATGTTTGCTCTTTCTGTAAAGAAGAAAACTTATGTGTTCTTAACACATAATGAACACATAATGTGCAATTTAACAATTGGTACTCTAACTTACACCATTACTTTAACACTAAAGTATTTTATATGGAAGTCAAAATGCCACTTTGTTTACATTTTGCTACCGTTGTCAAAAAAAAAAAAAAATCACATTTTTTTAAGGTAATAAGCATTTTCAAAGGTTCTTAATCCATGATTACGATATTATAAAACATATGTTTGCAGAGATTGAAAATTCCACTTGTCCATTCATAATTACAAGTAGAATTTAAGGGGAACTCGATGCTGGACGATGCCTGTACATTGGATTTAGAAGCTACTTATCCTGCAGGACAAGTGACTCTGGAAATATTTTTCGATGCCAAGTTTGTCCTTTCTAAGGAAAGATGAAAAATATTTGTTTCTGAGGCATAATGTGCCTTTAACATAGTAAAACTTTTCATGAGACTATTATCATATATTAAAAAAATATAGAAATATTTAGTGTGTGGGCAGTTCAATATGAAATGTGAACACATGTATTAGTTTACACACAATGTTGTCTTACTTCCCATATGTTTTGTGAGCTTCTTCCATACCCTTGAGTTCCCCTGGAACAGCCACTGCCATCACTCCCTGCAAACAAACATACAAAGTGGTAATCAATTAAAATCTCCTGATTGTAGTATTAAATTGCATCCATATACAAAAAAATATATATAAAATTTCAAACTTGACTTATCAGTATTTTTGGTTAGGAGAATAATGATTAGTGATCTATTTAATAATGTAAATATAATTATATATCAAGTATCTGATAAGAACCAAGCTATAAAATTCATATTTCACAAACCATCACCTTGTTTTTCTGCATATTTACCTTATTTTAACACATTTTTGGTCCTATTTTGTTGGCTTTTCACCAAATTGGTTTTTCCGGAACACTAACACCTAAATAACGAGCTACTTATCCCACATGATTTCTGAATCAGCAAGTGGAACACAAAACACCATCAGATTCAATATCTGGGATTAATTGCTACCAACAACTAGGTTCCCTCTAAGATAATAATTTGTTTGTTTGTTTGTTTCATTTTACGCCTTTTCCCAACAGTTAAGATAATAATATTTACAAAAATAATACAATATACAGAGAAGGCTAGCATGGAGTCTTTCACACTGAACCTCAAATACATACCAATTTCATTTTTGATTCATCCTTGTACATAGCTGGTGTCACTCCAGCGGGGGCCGTCTCCCTGAAGTCAAACACTTCAGATTTCTCTATCTTATGGTCATGAACAAGCATGAAACCACCCCTGAAATGGAACAGTATATCAGCCGCGTCATGACAAAACCAACATAGTGCATTTGCGACCAGCATGGATCCAGACCAGCCTGAGCATCTGCGCAGTCTGATCAGGATCCATGCCGTTCGCTATCAGTTTCTCTACTTGTAATAGGGTTGGTAAGCGAACAGCATGGATCCTTATCAGACTGCGCGGAAGCGTAGGCTGGTCTGGATCCATGCTGGTCGCAAACCCATTATGTTGGTTTTGTCATGGCACGGCTCAATTATGAATAAAAATAGGATCAGTTCAAAAATAGGGTGGTAGTAAGAAAAATGTTACACTATCCATACAATAAGAAAGTACCTCAACAACTGACGTTTTATTTTAGACTTCTACAAAGTAAATTGCCATGCAAATAGATGATAATGATAATTTAAAATCAACAAGAGCTGTTGGTAGGACAGCATGCTCCACTATTCCCAGTGCTTGGTAGTAAAACAAGAGCCTGGATAATGTTAAATTTTCTAAGTTCAAAAAGGGGCCATAATTCTTTACAATAGTAAAGTACAATAGTTTTTTCTATTCTTTGAATAGCTGAGTTAAATGAGTTAAAAGTTAAGTACACTGCACTTATACATCACTTTAAGAGATTTTTCATGTGTATAGCCTATGACTTTATGTTAGAAGCAAGTCAAAACAGTTCAACTTTATTAAAGCTTTTCTTAAAAGTTGAAATAGTATAATTTTATGGCTACTGCTGGTAGATTTTTTTTTAAATAAAAAAAAATAAAAAAATACACAGACATACAAGCTGGTCTGGCTATATACAGATGGCAAAGGCTAATCATTTACAGTTCAAGCAGATTGAAAACACATGATCTTTCTATATACACAAACATAAACAAAGAAATTCCATACCCGCCTAGCCCGGAGCTTTCTGCATTAATCACTCCCATACAGAACATAGCGGCAACTGCAGCATCTACAGCATTGCCTCCCTGCTCTAACATCTGTAGACCAACATTGGAACATTGTTTTACACCACATGTCACTGCAGCATTAGCACCAATCTAAATACAATGCAGGTAATATTATCATACAACCTTGCTTTACATCACATGTCACTGCAGCATTAGCACCAATCTAAATACAAGGCAGGTAATATTATCATACAACATTGCTTTACACCACATGTCACTGCAGCATTAGCACCAATCTAAATACAAGGCAGGTAATATTATCATACAACATTGCTTTACATCACATGTCACAGCAGCATTAGCACCAATCTAAATACAAGGCAGGTAATATTATCATACAACCTTGCTTTACACCACATGTCACTGCAGCATTAGCACCAATCTAAATACAAGGCAGGTACATGTAATATTATCATACAATATTAAAGGAACTCCACTGAGATACCAAAAGCCTTAAACATAAAATTTTCATTTCTTAAATAGACCAGCTGGTACATATATGCATGACAGAGATTGAAAATTCCACTCGTCAGCTCGTAATTACAAGTAGAATGCAGGACGAGTAGAAAAATTTTGCTACTCGTCCTGCAGTATGCGTGACTCTGAAAATATTTTTGACGCCTGCAAGAGTGTTAAGAAAAATACTCAGAAATAAATTTTCCCCTTCTTAGCCTGACCCGAGTGAAAAGCGATGCACCCAAAATGGAATAAGAGGTCATTTCTTTTACTATTTTCCTTTGTTATTTTCTTTTGTTTTAATACAGGGCCCTTAGCATCTTATTCAAATGTTAAGGGATGAACTCTATTGTTCTCTTTTGTACTTTTTACAGTTAGATGGTCCCCTAATTCAGTAGTAGAGCTAATAATGACAGCTGGATGCACAAGTACAAATCTATATTCCCCCACCCGCTAAGAAATGGGCATAATAAAAACCCAAGAATTTTCAAGTCGATATAGTGATACAAAAATACTATACATAAATACCTGAGGAGGACCAAGATAGATAGACAATATCAATGCTATAGTCACAACTACTGAGAAAACAAATGCTCCTATCACAATGATTCGTAATCCTCTACTCTGATCCTGTAACCTGAAATTAAAATGGAAAACTATGTTACCAATAAAACTCTCATACTTGGAGACATGAAGGTACTGCTTTTTTAGCAAACTTTTATTCTATTGTTTACAATTTTAGGCCCATAATGTCCCAAAAATGCAATTAATTTCATTTCTCTATTTTTTTCAATTTCTTTATTTTTGGTGTGAGTGTCCTGTTATTGTTTTCTAATTTTACTTACTAGCAAAGTATCTGAAACATATTTTGCTTCTATTGATTTTGTTAAAAAGTGTGGATAAAGAGATTTGGTATTTTGTATTGGAAGTCAAAATACTACTTTGTTTTTCATTTTGCTACTTTTACAACAAATAGTTTCACATTCACGTTGACTTTCTTCAGTTGATAAGCATGTAAAAAACATGCTCAAAAAACATTTAAACTCATGCTTTCCCTTTCTAACGACAAAAAAAAAAATTTCTGTGGCATAATGTGCCTTTAAATAATAGTTAAAATCAGTTACTTTTGGAAGGAAGTTCAGGGACATGAGTGGATGTGCTTGAATTTAATTTGATATAAGCTAGTAACAAGAGACTTATTGCAGCAGTAAGAACTAAGACTATTTAACACATAGCCTAATGGACTTGTCAAGCTTCCACTTTTAGGACTGTCCATTTTCAATTTTTAGGTATGTCAAGATGAAAATCAGAAGTTAAGTCAGGCCACAGTATCTTGGTAAGAATGTGCAAGAATGATTGTGTGAGTGTGACTGTGTTTTATTTGGTTTATTTGGTTTATTTGGTTTGTTTGGTTTTACAGCACACCAACACAGTATTATGAGTATAGAAACAGGAAAGATGATTTTGGCTAACCTCATGTGTTACATACTTCAAAGCAACAGCAGGGGTCTTAACCACCTTACCTTCTTGGGCTAAGAGATGCACAGACTCCAGTTATTCTAACCCATTTAATCGCCTCTTATGACCTAGCAGAGGTAAACGGTGGTTGAAATTTTTATGTAGCAGTAATTCAGGCAACCCCTCAGCCACAAGGGAGGGTGGCAATTTTGAAATTTTGTGATGAAAAATATTACTCCAACTATCAAGGAGTTTAAACTTTGATGCACATCAATGAGAAAACATATCTTGATTTAAAAAAAAAAAAGTAAACATGAAATTGTTATAAATTACATTCATTAATATACAATTCTATTATAATATAAATATTCACCATGAATTTTCTTTGTGAAACTATACATTAGAAAAAAAAAACAACACTCAAACATCACAACAATTTTTACTTACACTGCTTTCCCGGCTTCAAGCACTTTCTTTGGTTTCTTGAGAGGATCACTATCTGAGTTGGTGGGGCTATCTTTGACTGACATTTCCTGTATGTTGCCATCATTGTCTAGTAACTCCACCTTATCACCTATTCAAGAAGTCAATAGAAATTGCAAAAAACTTAATACCTTTATAATACTTTCATTTCTTTTAATTTTTATTCTTGTGTAAGATCATACATTTAGAAATTAAAGAATATTTTGCAGCTCACTGTGGTATATTGTTTTTGAAATTTGGAAAAAAAAAGTTATTTTGAACTGGTAATGGGGCCTTATGATATACTGACTCCTGGTGATGATAGCTAACTACATCCTGCTAAGTATCTCCGGAAAAAAAATTATATGACGATTTGAAAATTATCCAGAGAGACAATCCAACATGCTTTCAGCAAACCTCTTCCTCTTTTCTCAAGAAAATAAACAAATAATAATTAAAAGGTATGAATTTGAAATCTTGAATGATCTTGTAATTGCAGTCTGACAAAACTTCCACTTACTTCAATTATGACATGATTGAATATATAATTACAAAATCAAATTAAAGCATAATCAAGTTAGATTATAATAATGTTTTATATTATATTAATTACTAATAGATACCTGGAGAGCCTGTCTCTTCCAATTTATCATAAGCACCTTCTGAGGTCATCTTTTATGTTTATGCTAACCTGAAAGAGAAACAAAATACCTTTAAGCTGCAAAACTTCAGATGAGCAAAAATATTTCAAAAGAAAAATGAACATAGATTTTAAGAGAAGTAAAACAATTTCAGAATCAAGTAATGATTCACATGTTATATGCGATTAAAGACTGGTTTTGCAGTGTTTATCTGTTTTATATCACCTAATTTGTACTCCGTTTCTAAAGCAGTACCAGCTATTTGGTCGCTTTGTTTGAGTATTTGACATCTTTTTGGTAATTTAAGTGAATTGTGCTGTCTGCAATGTGTAAATTATTTACTTTCTTCATTCTTTTTTAATTTTAAATAGTTATGCTTTTAAAATTTCATGAAAATTAGCACGAATCTGGAGGCATGCTGCTTTAAGATATATTTAATATCAATTATATTGGATTGCATCACATACATGCTTGTGACTCTTTTCAAGATTTTTTTTTAACATTAGACCTGCAATTGTCACGCTAAGCCTATGTTTTTTTTTTTCTAAAAAACACAACAACAAAAAAACAAAAACAACCACATTATGCACTGTATTTTGTCTACGTGTTTTAGTCCACAGTAAACAGCGTAAATGAGAGAAAAATAAACCGACTGGTGTAAGATTTTAAGTCTTTTAGTAGTCAAATGGTTTGTACATGATTTTGGGGCGAATCATCTTTGGGGCGAATCGTTCATAATTCGCCTTTTGAAACGTTTACATAGTAAAATTAAATAAAAGGACACCGTCATACAACTGTTCATTGCATAATCATCACTCCTAATTACCTTTATTTTTATTAATGTTGCAATGAACTTTTAAATTTTACTTTACATTAATTTATGAGAAACGTCAATATTTTCATCACAGTCACCAGACGCTTGATTATTGGGCCTGTCTAAAACGCGGACGCCTTAAGCGGACAATATAAACATATAGGGAAAACGCTGACAATATAGACAAAGAGGAAAAAAGCGGACGATATAGATATATAGTGTAGTCTAATTGGTGATGATTTTGGGCATTGATGAAGTTTATAAAAATGATGTGTAATTGGATTTATGCTTTAATATATAAAAAATATAATAAATTAGCAAATTGGGAGAAATATTAAAGTAATTTATGATTGAATGTCAATGAATTTTATATTATATTTATATGACACATTTTCGGAATTTCTAAATATTGAAAACTAATATATGAAACAAATGGATCAAATGAATGTCTTTAGAATTATAATGATGGTACTAAATTGGCAACAGCTGATATGTAATTAAGGATATGTATTTCATTTTGGCATTGTTTTTGTCTGTCTTTATGTGCAGTAGGCGGACAAAATTTTTGTTCGCAAAATAAAAAAAGCCTTGATTTTTCAAAATCAAAAGTTTGTAAGAGTAATTTTTAATCATAAATTATTGATATAAATAAGTAATGACAGGCTGTTGTTTTTTTTATTGATACAATATAAGCAGAAGCGTGCTGCAAATTAACGGTAATTATATAAGTGTGAACAACGCGCTACTGATTAATCGTTAATGTAAAAAATATAAATAAAACTAAAAAATATTATGAATTCAAGTAAGTTAATTGATATAAATTAATTATATACATGGTAGAAGCCAGATATTTTTTATTCATAGCAGTTTTCTATTCTCCCGTTCTATACATTTATTTCGTCAGCGTTTTCCCTCTATATCTATATCGTCCGCTTTTTCACTATATGTCTATATTGTCCGCGTTTTCTATTTCGACTTGATGAAATATGGTATAAAGTATCATGTGTATGATTAAATTAAACACGTGCAGGATTATATCAAATATACAAGTGACACGTGGACACTTTATTTAAATAAAAAAACTGGAATCAGTATATACATAAATATATGATTTATACATTTCTTACTGTTTTATTGTCTGGTAGAACATATTAACATGATTGTTCAAGAAAATTCATATCTTATTCAGGTTGATAAAGATTACAATGGGGAATATCATTGATATGAACTTACCGAAAAATATGGAGCAACTTCAAAAATGTCCTCTTCGAAACAAAACTGGCGTGTTTTATATGTCAATTAATGTGCAATATAGAAACAAAAGTAAATTACAAATCATAGTAAATTGTATATTTTGAAAAGAATGTCAATCTACACTATATATCTATATCGTCCGCTTTTTTCCTCTATGTCTATATTGTCAGCGTTTTCCCATATATGTTTATCATGTCCGCGAATTGCGTATGCAAAGTGTTCAAATATATTCAAACTTATTTCTTGTGCCCTTATTTAGTTTTCCGCACGTGACTGTTGCATGTTTTGTACTGTTTAATTAAAAGTTATTAAGTCAATTAACATGAACAAATAAAAAACATAAATTTAAGAATTTGAACAAATAAATAAACTAAAGTCTTTTTTAATTATTATAATAATTACACCTTTCAGATATTACTTTATAAAAGCCAATTATTAGCCTTTAATATGAATTTAACTATGCTCAGTCATTTTACACTATATATCTATATCGTCCGCTTTTTTCCTCTTTGTCTATATTGTCAGCGTTTTCCCTATATGTTTATATTGTCCGCTTAAGGCGTCCGCGTTTTAGACGGCGCCTTGATTATTCGGTAAGTAGTATTTAAGGTTCCAGAGTAATAAATTAACAGTCGGTGGAATATCACTAAATATTTTCCTTTCCTTTACAAGAAATGTATTGTATTGTGTTGGTTTAGAACTTAGACATGTATCGGGGTCATGCCGTACCTTATTGTATTGTGCTAAATTGAATTTTATTACTTTGCATCGTATAAATAAAATGGGTTAAAGAGGTAGAGTGGTTTATATTTGTTGCACACTTCCAATGACTCTTTCACGGACAAAGTTGTATTGTCGTATACTCACATTTGAACCTTATCTCTATTCATTGCATTCTTCTCTTCTTTATAATCAGTGGTCACTTTAAGAGATTAGTATTGAATCCTATTTAAATGGATCATCTCTAATAAACAGGCTCCAATTTCCTTTTCCACCATCCCAATCATATTTTCTCTCCTCTCTACATGTACATTTCATCACTCAATACCATATGAACTTCTTTCAAAAAGTAATGAATCATATACTGACCCCATCTCCTACGCATTTTTAAACTCTGTATATTTGCTATAATTGCTCTCGAGGAATCTCCCCTTTCAAGAATTCTGATTCATATAAAAAAAAATCAACGAACCACACCCACCTCATGCCAATAATTTAAAAGAAAATAATTTTACTGACGAGAAGATCCTGTAAATAGCACATTAATTTTGATATTGATTGCAGTTAATCAGGTAAAAGTTGTAATGTTAATTTTTCATTTATCATTTCGTTGCCAATCTGCTTCATATCAGGGGTTACTGCCTCCCGATCCATTTCATTTAATAAAAAAAAATGGCCGGCCTATTTTGATTTCAAACATGCGCAATGAATGCATACAGGTACATGTAATATACACTCTAAGTAAGAAGAGCAATTTATTAACCATCATCATTATTAATTTTTTCGTCACAGATTTCTTTGATATAAATTTATCTCCATTTATACATTATGTGATGTAAATCTAATGCATGTCAGTCATCAAAATATTAATTAATACACACATGGAGCTTATTAAAAGTATATTATATATCAACTGAATATATTAGAGCATTCGCTTTTTTTATCTTTCTAAGTATTGTGCAACTACTTTTTTACCTGCAAAATTGAAAATAATGCAGGCTCGGGTTGATTGAGATTGTTCATGGATGGTAAAGGTAAATGCCTAACCTAGCTACCGATCAGCCTTATAGAACCAATACATATAAATACATTAGAAATGAATACCCGTTTCACTTCTGTAGAAAGGGAGAGCATGTTTTTCTATAATGTTATTATAACCGTTTAAGAACATGTAAGACGTTTCTTACTTAAAAGGGACTCGTTCCACTGAAATCTTGTCACATGAATGGAAACGATTTTCAAACCTTTGTGTACCAATTGTTGAACATATAGACCAATAAGTTGTGTGCAATTTTTTAGGTCATTCCCTCACCATGCAAGGCCTTTCGAAATTGGTGGAATTCCTTTAAGAAGAAAAAAACAACAGCAAAAAAACGCTGAATGTGAAATAATGTGTGATAAAAGTAATAAAATGTTAATAAGTAGTATTTAAACTTCCATTCAAAATACATGTACTCAATAATTATAACTGGACTACTAGAGACGAAAAATGATTTTTTATACTAAAAATATCAGCATTATATGTGTTTTATTTTCATAGACATTTTCTTTTCCATTTTCCAAAAATCTCTATATTAAATGCCTCTTTAAACAAGTTAAACGTCAGCATAATGTTCTTCTTCTTCTTCTTCTTCCGGGTAATGTGCTGGGTCCCTCTGGAGCATCGTCGCACAATTGTGACTATTTACATGAGTGAAGGGAACATCAAGTGCAGCTAAAAACAGGTTAAAAACACCATGCTCCAGAGTTACTCGTGCAGCGCACCCATCCTCGTCTTGAAGACCTCTTAGGACGGGGCTGTGTCATCACGACTTCTGGTAGGCTGTTCCAAAGTCGGATTCCAGAAGGAAAGAACGAAAAATTTGTATGAGTTGACACTGGTAAAGGGTTTTAGGTACCTGTTTGGCATGGCCTCGGGTGTGTACTCCAGCAGGGACAGTCAGTATGTGATGGGCTGGATATCCACCCAGGCTGTTAATGACTCTGTACATCATCACTGCTTTGGTTTGGCTGACGGCGGGCTTCTAGAGTGTCCCAGCTTAGAGCTTCTCTCTATCATTGCAAAGTAACCGCTGCTGGTGTAACGATAATCACCTGTGCAGAACCTGGCTTGCTTCTTCGTTGGCAGTTCTCGAGCTTACTGATGTTGGCCTTGGTGTGTGGGTCCCATACTGACGAAGCATACTCGAGCTGAGGTCTAACCAGTGTTTTGTAACATGTCGCCTTGATGTTCTGTGGACAGTGTGATAAGTTTCTGCGTAGAAAGGCAAGTGGTGGTGTTCGCCTTCTTTGCAGTAGCGTCAATATGGCTGTTCCAGGAAAAGCGTATTGTCAAGTGTGACACCCAGATACTTTGCCTTGTTCGTCTGCTTGAGTGTTTTGGCCATGGATGGCATAGGACCAAGTTATCACTTTCCGCTTGTTGTAATGCGAATCATCTCACACTTGTCGGGATTAACATCATCAACCAGTCTTGCTCCCACTCTTGTAGGCGTCAGATCCTGTTGTATGTGCAATGCTGTCCTTCTCAGAGCTGATGGTCCTATATAGTAGGCAGTCATCTGCGAAGAGGCGTGCTGTGGAGGAGACCTGCCATGGCAAGTCGTTAATCGTAGACTAAAAACAAGAGAGGCCCTAGGACTGTGCCTTGCGGGACGCCCTGATGTGACTGGTGCTGGAGAGGATGTCTTCCATCGAGTACTACTTGTTGTTGACGGGTGTGAGAGGAAAGCTGTTGATCACAGCCCAGAGTCTTGCCTCTGATCCCATAGTGGTGAAGCTTGGCCGAGAGACGTCGAATGGGGGACCTTGTCAAACGCCTTGGAGAAGTCTAGTAAGATGGCGTCGATATCTGCTGTTTGTTGTTCAAGGCCGCGTTGCAAGGTCCTGGACTTTTGGTGATCAGTTGCGTCTCGCATATCTCTTCTTCCAAAAGCCATGTTGCATATCGGAGAGAATGTTGTTATGATCGAGGAAACTGATCACGTGGGGGTGGCTATGGACAAATGTGCTCCATAATCTTGCAACAGATGGATGTCAAGCGAGACTGGGCGATAGTTTGAAGGCTTACTCTTGTCTCCCTTCTTGAATAGTGGTGTCGACTATTTAGTGCGCCCTTACCAGTCATGCTGGTACTTGGCTCTGAT